ATTAATATAAAGTAAAAATTTTAACTTTGGTTAAAATGTCCCAGAACCTCATTTTCCTAGCTCACAACCCATATGTCGGCTTCGTAGATATCCTCTTAGCAAGGTACCAACTGATCTTTCTGAAATTGATGATCTTATTTCCGTTGTCTACGATGTGCTTATTGCAAAGGTAATGGTCTATTAAATTACCAACAAATATCATATATAGCTTACACTTATCTATTATTTGTCCAGCTCCGAATTACTCAATCTTTGGAATATTCAAATAACCCAACTGATAAAACTTCGATTAACAGCAATGAAGCTTTAAAGAAACGCTTAAAGAAAAAGGTTATAAACCGACGACAAGAAAATGATGATTATGAATTTCCGAGTTCACAGAAGACTCCCAAAAAAAGAAAGGTTGAAAACCCCAAAAAAGGCTGAATAAGAAATTCGGGTTATTATATTTGTTTTTACATTATGGTATCATCTGCGCAACGAAATTTTAATATATCACTATAAGATTCTTATCAAGATGATTAAATGCTATATTATCAATAAAATACCAAGTAAATTAATAGCTTCATCTGCAAAGTTAATAATGTCTATTTGATTGCATTTGTGAAAAGTGATCGGCGTGAACAATTGTTCAGCGCACGTGATTTTTTTCTTGGTGAAAGAAAATTTATGTCCATCAAACGAAGTTGGATTTTCACAAGTTTTTAGCCGTATTTTGTTACTGAATTCCTCAAACATAAATATCAATAAAGTTTAACCAGTTCAGCCATTTATTTTTCCATATGTTATAATGTTTTTTAATTGATACTGAATACAGCATAATTAGTGTCCAGATTTTTTGATCAATACTGACACTGCATAATTAGTGGACATGCATGTCCAAAATTTTTAAAACGTGTTGTAAATTTTACAAGTTAAAGTATATTTTTTGCTTTGTGCTACTAAACCATTAAAAACGCTATTCTATACTAACATAAAATCTTATTCCTGCTGTTCGCTTGACCTTTCACCATAATTGATGGTAACATTGATTACATTCGCATTTTGCGAA